CACCCTCCCCAGCATTCCTGTCCAAGGAGATTCACGGGCTCCACAAGCTGATCCGTGCTGCCCCCTCTAGCTTCTCAAAGATGGACGTCCTGTCGTTCACGCTATGGGCGTCCGCCACGATCCCGCAGGGTATTGAAACGCTACTCGCAGCAACGATGTGGCGCGCCTCCACGACCACCATCTCTGGCTGGCAGCCTCTGCTTCACGCACTCCGTGCTCATGCTGAAGAACTTCTACCGCTACGAGATGTAGTAGTGGGCAAATGGTCTGCGTCATGCTGGATTGACCCCACATCCATCGTGCAGCGATTCGACGACATTTTTTGTTTTTTGTTTTTTTTTCCTCCCTCTCCCAGCCCCAGTCCCAGCCCCAGTCCCTGACCGAGTCCGTAGCGAAAGGGGCCGCTGCACCCGGCTCCCTCTGGCTGGCCCCCTGGCTGGGCTGCCGACGCCCGCGGTCGCCTTAGGCGGCCCGACAGGCCCGCCGGCCACCGCGCGGCCGTCGCGCCGCCAGCCGCCACCGCCCGCCGCCCGCCCGGCCGAGCCGCCCTGCGTGCCTCGGCCTCCGGAGGCTTCCGGCGGCGTCCGGAAGCCGCGGAAGCACTCGAGGCCTTGGCCCGGCCGGCCCCCCTCCGCGCCCGGGCAAAGCCGCCCGCGAAGGCCGCCAGAGCTGCCCCAGCCCGGCGGCCCGCGGCCGCAGCGCCCGCCGGCCCTGCCCGCCTGCCGCGCGAGCGCCTGCCTGCCCAATCCCAGCCCTGTAACCCGCGACGTCGGGTCCCAGCTTCGCGTCCAGCATCGCGCTGAGCAGCACGAATGCCTGTTGCCACTGCCCCCTCTTCTCGCCCGTGCTGATCCCGGCATTGTAGCTGATGACACTTGGCGCCACCTTCGCCTCCCACATCTCGCTGAGCAGCGAGAGAGCCCGCTGCCACTGCTCGCCGTTTGTGCACGCGCTGATCCCAGAGCTGTAGCTGATGACACTTGGCTCCACTTTCGCCTCCCGCATCTCGCTGAGCAGTGGGAGAGCCTGCTGCCACTGCTCGCCGTTCGTACACGCTCTGATCCCAGAGTTGTAGCTGATGGCATCTGGCTCTGACATCTTTCACAACAAGCTGATCGCGACAGGCAAAGGGTCCATCTTCAAGATTCTCACGCGGTCCACAGGATCTACGGTGAATGCCGCCCAAATACTTCAGCGAGCACATGCGAAGGCTGCTGCAGCTGGACGACATACCATCATGGCCTCTCGTCGTAACAAGGCGGAGGATCCGCACTCACACAGCCGTGACAGGGCTGGGACCAACCAGGCACCACGCCTGTGGCAGGGCGGGCGACCTTCACACGTCCAGTCGTGACAGGACTGGCGGACATCATCAGAGACAGGCAGGGGTCAAAGCTCCGACTGACGCTACTTCGAGTGCCACTTCAAGTACCTCTCCACAACAAGCATACCTTCGGGAACTACGACGCCAGCTGTACCGCGACTACTTCCACAAGACCATCCATCACCGTCTCCGCGCCTGGCTCCCACGACTTCCTGCTGACAGTGGAGATCGGATGGCACCTGCTGCGACCGAGCAACAGGCTGGGAACGACAATCACGACTCCATGAAGTACCTGAACGAGCGTGCAGAAGCATGGGCAGCAAGATTGATCCCCAGCGTGGTTTTCGGCCGCGACATGGACAACTTCAACGACTGGATGGACTGGTGCGTCCCATACGTCACAGCTGTACTACATCGCGCCCAATTCAATGCGCGCTTCTGCATCGATGACCAGTGCGAGTCTGCCAGCGATCGCCGTGACATGGCGACGGAGATATGTTACAGTGCATGGCATCGAGCTGAACGCCCTCGCAATCACCGCTTGCAGATCTACTCCTCCGAGCACATGCCGACCAACGCTCATCGAGAATATGCTGATGAAGCTGCTGAACACCGCGCCCGTCGTCGCTGGATCGAACGGGAACCAACCCGAACCTCCCGCAGGAAGAAGACGGCACTCAATCTACAACTACGGCTACATCCACGCCTCACATCCACTCAGTCAATGACATCATGATGGATGCTGATACATCCGACCGTGATGGACTTCTTGGCCGCGATGCTCTCCCTGCCAGCGTTGAGCACGTCTGGCGCGACCTGGGGCCACACCTGGCGAACTCCACGGCATCGATCTTCTGGCCTGTGGTCAAGTCCTTGTCAGGCGCGTGGGCGACATCGCACCGCATGCACGTCTACCCCCGCAAGAAGAACTGCCTATTCGGCTGCGACAAAGACTCGCAGGCCAAGAACACGGCCGACATCAGCCACTACACTTCGCGCCCGCGAATGCGGGCGCTATTGGCTCAACCTCGGGGACAACCTGCTGGCGATGTCCTCGCGCGGCTCGGCCTCAACAAGAGCAACAACATCGACGATCACCCGAAGCACACCATCACACGCATTGCGGTCGCCTTCCGCACATGCAACATCCCCTGCGGGCGCGCTCCGAGCTGAGCTTGCCCGCCATCGTCGACAAGCTCAAGTGCCACAAGGAGGTGGTCGCTGCCACCAGACGCGTCCTGAGGTTGCCGCGGCGCCTCGGCGGCGCGGGGCCGCTGCGCCTCTAACCCGCGGACACGCGCCCCCTTCAGCGCGTCGTTCGCTCCTGCTCCTCCCTGCTGCCTCCGGGGCTTGGGTCGTCAAACCGTCTCTTGACGGCCCCAGGGCCTGGGTCGTCGTCGTCGTTCAGGGCCGGCGGCGCCGGCCGTAAGGCCGTAAACTCGCACTCAGGGATGGGGCGTTCAGTGGGGCTGGAGGGACATTGAATGTAACCTTCAATATGTGATGGGCCAAGGTAGGGGGAAGCTATGTTACCACCGCCGAATGCGCGGATCGGGCGGCCGGCACATGAAATACAACCGCCACTCAGCAATGGGGATTTCAGTCGGGCGGGCGGGCGGGACATCCAATGTAGCCCCCCCCTCTGTCATGGGACAAAACTTTAAGAACATGTCTCGCAGCCGCCGAAGAAGCCGGTCGGGCGGGCGGGACATTACACGAAACCTTCGCTCAGGGATGGGGCGTCGGGCCGGGCGGGCGGGGCATTAAATGTAGCCTTCATGATGGGCAAGGTAGGAGGAAATGATGTTACAGCCGCCGACAACGCGGGTCGGGCGTGCGGGATACGAAATGCAACCACCACTCAGAAATCGCATTTTGGGGAATTCAGTCGGGCGGGCGGGCGGGACATTGAACGTAACTTTCACCATGTGATTGGACACGGCTTGATGGACATCTATCGCAAGCGCCGGAGACGCCGGTCGAGCGGGCGGGGCATTGAATGAAACCTTCACCCAGGGAATGGGCATTCGGTCGGGCGGGCGGGGCATAACATCGAACATCGGCTATGTGATAAGATAAGGCTGGGGCGGGATACATCGCCGCCGCCGAAGACGCCAGTCGGGCGGGCGGGACATTAAACGAAACCTTCACTGAGGGATGGGGCGGCTGGTCGGGCGGGTGGGACATTAGATGTAACCTTCACTGTGTGGTGCGCCAAGGCAAAAAGAAATAATGCTCCAACCGCCGAAAATGCGGGTCGGGCGGGCGGGACATTACATGAAACCTCCATTCAGGGATGGGGCGTTCGGTCGGTCGGGCGGGACATTAAATGCAATCTTCACTCAGGGATGGGGCGTTCGGTCGGGCGGGCGGGACATTAAATGCAACCTTCACTCCGACATGGGACAGGGCTGGGAGAAACTATGGTGGAGCCGTCGGGCGGGCGGGACACGAAATGCAACATTCACTCAAGAATGGGGAATGCAGTCGGGTGGGCGGGCGGGACCTTACATGAAGCCTTGCGCCGTCGACGTCGTCGTCGTGGTTCGCCGTGCGCCGCCGCCGTCGTCGTCGTCGTCGCCGTCGCCGTCGCCGCATCGGCCGCCGCCGCCGCCGCCGTCGTCGTCGCCGGGGGTGTCCGGGGTGTCTAGGGTGTCCGGGGTGTGAGGGGTCTCCTCCTCCAGCTCCTCTTCCTCCTCCTCCTCCTCCTCCCCCTCCTCCTCCCCCTCCTCTTCCTCCTCCTCCTCCTCCTCCTCCTCCTCCTACTCCTCCCTGCTGCCGCTGGGGCTTGGTCAAGCCGTCTCTTGACGGTCCCAGGGCCTGGGTCGTCGTCGTCGTCGTTCAGGGTCGGCGGCGCTGGCCGTAAGGCCGTAAACCATCGCTCAGGGATGGGGCGTTCAGTGGGGCTGGCGGGACATTGAATGTAACCTTCAATATGCGATGGGCCAAGGTAGGGGGAAACTATGTTACAACCGCCGAATGCGCGGGTCGGGCGGCCGGCACATGAAATACAATCGCCACTCAGCAATGGGGAGTTCAGTCGGGCGGGCGGGCGGAACATCCAATGTAGCCTTCCCTGTGTCATGGGGCAAAACTTTCTGGGGGCATATCTCGCAGCCGCCGAAGACGCCGGTCGGGCGGGCGGGACATTAAACGAAACCTTCACTCAGGGATGGGGCGTCGGGCCGGGCGGGCGGGGCATTAAATGTAGCCTTCGCGATGGGCCAAGGTAGGAGGAAACGATGTTACAACCGCCAACAGCGCGGGTCGGGCGCGCGGGATATGAACTGCAACCGCCATTCAGAAATGGCATTTTGGGGGGATTCAGTCGGGCGGGCGGGCGGGACATTGAACGTTACTTTCACCGTGTGATTGGACAGGCTTGATGAACATCTATCGCAACCGCTGGAGACGCCGGTCGAGCGGGCGGGACATTAAATGAAACCTTCACCCAGGGAATGGGCGCTCGGTCGGGCGGGCGGGACATAACATCGAACATCGGCTATGTGATCAGATACGGCTGGGGCGGGATATATCGCCACCGCCGAAGACGCCTGTCGGGCGGGCGGGACATTAAACGACCAGTGGTAGAGGTCCAGAGCAATTGCGCACTGCAGATCATGAGAAACGACGCGTGTGGCGCATCATCGGACGTCACGTCGGCCACTCGGGCACCCTAGTTCTTGGCCAGCCAACGCCGGTTGCGCACTTCCGCCATTTCGTGCAAAAACATAACGGAAGTCAGGCGGTCCATCCAGCGGATGGCGAACTTATGCTGGCCAAGGCGGCTGAAGATCTGCTCGCGCACGGACGCGTTGACTCCCTCGAGAAGAGCTTGGTTGCACTCGGCGCCGGCCACGCAGTTCTCAAGGCACCAGGGGTCCACGTCCACGTGCCTACGAGTATGCAGATGGTCGATGACATACTTGATGTTCGGGAAAGCCAACCGCTGGGCCAGCGCCCTCGGCTCCGCGGCCTTGCGCTGGCTCCTCTTGCGGATGGCTTCGCACAGCGACGTGTAGCCGATGCCGCAGAGGCCCATCAGGCGTTCGTGGCAGGCACGAACGGCCTCCTCGTCCTGCGCGGGGGGGAGCTCGAGCGTAATCCGGGGCCCCCTGCGGTCGGGGTTGGCGCGCCCGTCGTCAAAGAGGCGATGGAAAAGCCTGAGGGGGTCATGCGCGCGAGCGCAGTGGCTGACCTCCACGTGCCTCTGGGCCAGGGCCTGCGGCAGCAGCGCATCGACGGCGCCGCCGGCAGCGGCGGCGGCGCCGCCGGCAGCGGCGGGCGCGTCGACAACCTCGACGGCAATCTCGAGAACGAGCAGGGCAACCGTCAACATCCCCAAGTGCCAGGGGGCGGCCCCGAGCCGGGCCGCCTCCCCCACCGCGCCGGCAGCGTCGCTGTCCCGCGCTTTGGCGGCCTGCGCATCGAAGACGGCCTGGGACCTCTTGAACGTCAAGTGGGCAGCCGGCTTCCAGGGGACCTCCGTGTGCGGCTCCCTGAAGTACTCGAGGACGCGCTTGGCCAGCGATCGCAACTCTTGGTCAGCTGGGATGGGGGCGTCGCGGTTCGCTGCGCGGATCTTGGGCACCCACGCGGGCGCGTCGGGGCCGAGTGGCGTCTGCTTCTTAAAGCGGGGGCGAGTGGCCGTGCCGCCCGCGAGCGTGATGCGGTAGCCGCCTGCGTTGGGCGCGAAGGCGCCGTCGTCTTCCCCCTCGCCATTGGAGTCCTCAGCGTCAGCGGGGCCAGAGCGGACGAGCTGCAGCGCGCGCTGGGCAACGTCCATCTTCGCGACGCCGTCGGGCAGCTCAAGCGGTTCGACCATCACGTCGAGGAGTTGCGGCCACACCCACCTCCTCACGTGCGCGGGCAACAGCGAACTCCGCGGCAACAATTGGCGCGGCTCGACCGGGGCCCCCGTCGCGATGATGTGGCGGCAGCAGCACGCGGCAATGTCGGAGCCGTGCTCTCCCCGCAGCATGGGAATCATGATAGCCGGGTGGCCGTTGCCCGTCACGCCCAGAGATATGGTTGGGGCGTCTCCCCGGCCAAACGCCCCAGCTGTCCTGGTTGCCAGTGGCGCAGTTCCGGTCTGGAACAATTTGCCCACCTCGCTCGCGGCATCAGTGACGGACCCGGCCGCGGCGTCCGACTTCCCACTCGCGCCAGAGGATACGCAGCCAACCAATTTCAGGTACTTGTAGATCTCATCCACGTTGACCAGCCGGTGGTACTTGCATCGGCCCAGGGGGGCCGCACGAAGTGTTAGCCACAATTTGGTCCCAATCCCCGCCGCGCCGCTGGGAAAACGCAGCCTCGGTGAAGGTGGTGAGAGTGTTCGAGTTGACGCGAACGGGAGGGATGTCAGGGATCGCCACGTCACGGGCAGTCGCAACCATCCGTTTTGCTTCCTCCAGCGCCGCCTCATCCATGGCGCTGGCGACCTTGTTGCCCGTGCTGAAGCCGGAGCTCTTGCGCGTCTGGGGGTAGTTCATGTTGAAGATCGGCAGCGCGAGCGGGCTCAATGAGCCAGGGAAGATCTGCGTGCGAGCGCCGTTGGGGCACGCCATCAGCTGGGCCATGAGCGACGCGCCGAATGGGAACTCGCGATGGGAAGCGCGCGCTGCATGTCGCATGATGACATCGGCAGCGGCGCTGCCGAATATGTCTCGGATCTGGAAATGGTCGTCGACTGCGTCCCAAGACGCGCGAATCTCAGACCGAAACTGAGGCGCATCACCGGTGCAATGCACAGGCGCGCGCTGCCCATCACCCCTAATATGGAAGGCCGCCAAGCCAGGGGCAGCCGCCGCCGCTGCGCGCATCCGAAGGCATGACAGGCGAAACATCGCGGAAACGCAGCAGCGAGCGGGGAAGTGAAATCTCCGTGGCAACTCTTGCTCCGGTGCGCGAGGCCAGCGAAAGCAAGGGCTGCTGCAATTGCTGCGGGAAGACAAGGCACAGTGTCTGGTGAAATCTCCGCTGCGCGCTCCATCATGGTTGGCGCTGCGGTCTCCAATGAGGCTGTTGCCCAGGACACCCACCATGGTGCCACTGCAGACGGCGCTCGTGAACAACGGCCTGGTGATTCTAAGTACCTCCGGCCCAGCGCCTAACATGAGAACTCAACATAAGAATTACTCATAAGCGCGCCAGATAGCCCCATTATGCGTAAACGATTAGACTGCCACTAGAACCACGCGCGCGCTTCGCGCGCGGAAGGCTCTAGTTGTAGTCTACGAAGTGTTCGGCGTCGGAGGGCGTAGATTGCCACGCGGATCGCGCCGCTCAGGAAGCTTCTCTCGCGGCCCCAAAGACGGACTTGGCGCAGCGCCCCCACGCCCACGTCGGCGCACTTCTCACAGGGATCGCGCCCCACAGGGAGCTCCACCATCGCTCCCAGAGGCAAGGTTCGCATAGAGGCGCGCCATCCATGCGGACCGTGCCTCGCAAGTAACTGCATTTGCGGCACCATAGGGAAGCTTCATAGCGCCGCCCCGCTCACTTCGGCACCCCTCTCAGACAGATCGCGGCCCGCGAGGAGTTCCACGAGCGGCCCCAGAGACAGGCGTCGCATCCCGCATTCCCGCCTGCGCCGGCGCGCCTCCCACGCGGATCATGGCCCACAGGGATCTCTACCTGCGGCCCCAGAGGCAGGGTTCGCACTGCGCCCCCCACCTCGCCGTTGCGGCGCACCCCATCACGCGGACCGCGCGCGCAAGGAGAACAGCCTAAAAGCCCAGAGACAAGGTTCGCACAGCGCCGCCCCGCCCACGTCGGCACACCTGCGATGCGAATCATGCCCCAGGAAGAGGCCCCCCCCCATGGCGCCAATGGGCAGCTTCGCGCGGCACCCCCCCGCCCATTTCGGAACATGCCTCGGGGGTATCAGAATTATTCGGCATATCCTTCACGCGGATCGTGGCCAACAAGGAGTTCAACGCACCCCTGCGCGCGGGCTCCGCAGCAACCATCTTTCCGCATCGCCCCGCGGCGCGCAATGCATGAAGAGAGACCCGCGATCTGCGCTCCACTTGTCTGCGCAGGGATGGGTCCGTCAACGAGCCGATTGCGTGCTTATCTACGGCCTTCGGCCACGCTGCTACCGTCCCTGAGTTTTGGACAGATGATTCTCGGATACTTGTAATTTGGGGTCTCTTGGCATGCTTCCCTGGCGCCTCCTGGAGCGAGTTCTGAAGCTTCTCGTGGCCTGTCTTGGGCCCTGCGGGAGCTTCCCGGGGCCTCTTTGGGGGCCCCTGGGGGCCTCTTGGGCGCCTGCTGCGGGCCCGGGGGCGCGTTCGTGGTGGAGGGCTCGAATGTCCAGTGGCATTCCCCCTCTTGGGCTCCACTTGGGGTTCTCTTCGGCCATCTTGGGCGCTTCTTGGACCGTCTCGGGTCTGATTTGGGCCGTCCTGGGGCCCTCTTGATGGCCTCTTGAACCGTCTTGGGTCGATATGTGGGGCCTCTTGGGCCGTGTAGGACGCTTTGAAGACCAAAATGCGGAAATGCTAGAAGTGCGCGATTTCGACGAGGAGTGGAACAACTTCGGCATCCTGGGGCCATCTCGGGGTGCATGTTGGAGCCTTCTTGGAACGCCTTCGGGGCCTCTTGAGCTGTCGTCGCAACATGTGGGCGCCTTCGGCCCTGTCAGGTCGCTCTGATCGCTTTTGGTGGCCTCCTGAGCTGTTTTGGAAAGCGGGGGGGTGCCGGGAGGCCCCGGAAGGGGTCAAACATCTCGTGGGCCAAAGCAGGGGGGGAGACGAAATCTGGGAGAGTGTCCTGGCCTGTGCCCCGGGCCTCCCGTGCCCCAGCATTATGTGTATATATATATATATATATATATATATTATATATATATATATATATATATATTATATATGTGTATGTTCATATGTATATACATATATATAATATATATATATATATATATATATATATATATATATGCATATATAGATGCATACACATATATGGTGTATATACATATATACGTGTACACTATCATACACTTTGAGCGTTTCGATATAAGTGTATATATATATGGCGCGCGCATATCGATGCCCCTGTTTTTTTGTCAGCGTCATCATCTGATCGACTCACTTTAAATGTAGCGCCCCCTCGCATAGCGCATCTGATTGGCATGCTCGTGCTAATCTAAAAGAATATGCGCGCGTCTGTCTACGCGCGCGCTGAGTCAGAACAAGCGCGAGCGACTCGGGCGCCTCCCCGCCATACTGACCTGCCGACGCCTAGTCAAATCACTTGCGCGCGGCCCAAGCCCCTGCCTGCCGCTTGAAGCGCTTCCCCTGCACGTTCACCTTCGCGGGGTCTGCTTCATTTCATGTCATTTCATACCGCAGCAACGGGGGCCGGAGCACCGCGCGACCGCGCGCGCCGCCCCAGCGCGCCCCCCCGCGCGCGGCCCGCTCAGGTCGCAGCCGCCCCTGCGCTCCCGGGGCAGGGCCGCGGGGCCGACCCCGTCTCGGGAAGGGTCTTTCACCCCCGTCGTGGGTCGGCCCAGGCGCCACCGCGGGCAACGGCGCCCTGGCCTCGCGGCCAGCGCGACCCCTCCCCGACTGGCACCTCAGAGGGCAAAAGGGGAGGGGCGGCGCAGCGGGCGGCGAGGTGCAAGGGGGGGGCAGAGTTCGCTCCTCCCCCTCCCCGGCCGCTCGCGGCACGGGGACGGACAGCAGCCAGGAGGCCGCGCGAGCGGTCGAAAGAGGAAAAGAAAAAGGGGGGGGACGAGGCACCAGGCATTGGGCAGCCAGATGGCTTGGGGGAGGACCGCCGCCACAGACGCACAGAGCTACGCGGCTGCACTGGGCCCCTGGGCGCGGCAGCCTCGCCCAGCCCTTAAAAGAACAGGGCCAATCGCAGCCAGATCCCAACCGGATCCAGCGCCACAAGCGGCGGTGAAATTGCTTAAGTGCCCCTTGGGGGCTGGGCCGCAGGCCCCCCACCAGGTCAGGAAGGAATTTCGAACGGGCGCGAGCCTATCGAGTCGTGCAAGGCGCGCGCCACGTAGAGAGCGTGGTGCCACCTCTCTTCAGGCGGCGGCCCCTCGCGGAAGAGCTGGCACATGTACATGGCCGCGTGCGATAGCGGCGGGGGCAGGGCGCGAGACTCCAAATCGGCACGCTGCGCGGCCTGCCTGGGGCAGCCACGCACAGCATGGGCAATGTCCACCTGCGCAGCTCCGCACGCAGCACAGCGGTCCAGAGTGACGGGGAGACACGGCACGCCAAGGACTGGGAGGGGCCATGCCCCGGACATACGCGCAACGGACCACATGCGAAAGTCGCGCCACATATGTGGCCCAAAATCCAACTGAAGTAGGGCCATCGGTAGCTGGTTGGGCTCGGGGACGAGCACAGCAAAGGACATCCCGAGCGTGGGCAAACAGGCGCCGGTCGCGCGTTGGAACACGGCCCGATCGCGCGCCCGCAGGGCCGGGCGAACCACCTGGAGTTTGAAGTCACGCAGCAGAGACCTACGCAACTGCAGAGAGCCCTGGGCGCCACGCAGAGGGTGGCGGAAAGCTGGGTGGACATCGATGTCCAGGACAGGTGGCGCGAGCTCTGCCATGCGGGCGGCGACGGCGCTCGCCCAGGAGGCGCGCGTGAGGCGGCGCGCCAGCGCGAGCATGCGGGTGCCGGGGTGGTCGGGAGGCTGCGCCAAAAGACGGGCGCGCGCCATGATTGCTCGCTCGAGCATCCGCGTGCCCAACCGGCACGTCCAGCCGCATTGCGCAACGACCACCTCGCCTGGCAGAGGGGGGCCAGTGGTGCACGCCAGGAGCCTCCTAGCCCACGCGGCCTGCATGCGATTCAACTCATACTCCGCCCGATGGGCCAAGAGCAGGACAGGAGAAAGGTATAAGATAGCGCTCTCGACCCGGAGAGGGACCTGCGCAGAAAGGACGGGGGGGCCGAATCCGCCGCTCTCCCCAGCGTGGAAAAGCGCTTCAAACAACGCGTGGCCGCGGGCCAGAACAGAGCGGAGGAGGGGTTGAAAGGTTCGGCGTCAACGAGAACGCCAAGCACCAGCTTCTGATCCACGACGGGGCAGCCCACCCACCCGGGGTCGGGGCTACCCGCAGCGGCCATGGCCGCTGTTTTACCAGAGGCGCAATTAAAGTCGGCACGGACAGCGCGGGCAAACCGGCTACACGCAGAATCTGGCTCGGCAGATACAACGGCGCGGAGGGCGCCTGGGGGCGGGCAAGGGACAGTCAGATCGTCAGAGAACTGCAGTGGCTGCAAGTGCTCCGCGCCCAGCGCGTCCTGGGCTGCGGCACGATCGGCTTCAGTGGCCCCTCCGCACGCCCACTCGGCCAGTTCCGCCGCGGCTCGAGCCCGCGGCGCGCCCTCGCCCAGTGCCGTTGCGGAGACGCTAGTCGCGATCGCCGCGGCCGCGTTGACGGAGGGGGGGTGAAGGGGGGCGGAGTGGAAAGGGAGGGGGAGGGTCCACGCCAACTGGACAAGCGCGCCGGTGGACCGGCGGAACCCAGGTTGCACAACCCTGCGGCAGGACAGCCATTACAGCATCAGCTAGCCACTTCACCTCGGCATTAAACACATACGCCGAAAAACGCTTACCTTGGGCGGTGCCGCAGGGCAGCCGAAAAAACTCAGACGCCAGCCCCTGGAGGGCTACCAACTGGATGTCCATAAAGATGAAATCATCCAACAAGAGCCACTCGTCCTCCACCACGCCAGCAAGATACGTTGACAGGCGCATGGCATCATGCGAGGCCACATCAAAGGCCCAGCGAAGGTCAGTAAGCGCCCAGTACGTGGGGAGCCCTTGAGCGCCGCGGAGCTGCGCGTGGAGCAGCAGCGCTAGCAAC